CTATTTTTCAGTTTTATTATTGCTGAATGGACTTATTGTAAATATTGAATTTGGTGGTTGCAAAAGGAATAAATGGAGTGGAAGTTAAGATCTGGACATGCCAGAGAACATAAAGCTTAACAACTGACCAGGATTGCCATCTGGTGAGGCTGTAGAGTCTTTTAAGTGTCTTTATTGTTTTTAAGCAAACCTACAAAACTAGACATAAATGTTACTCTTAAAAGAAAATCAGATTAGGGATTGATGAGATGCTTTATAAACGTCTAGGGAGCAAAGATTTTTTATATTACAAGGTGCCGATCCTGCAATCAGATCCATGCAGACCGTACACTGTGCCAATGCAGAGCCCACTGAAGTTAATTCAGCTGCCACTGTTAGCAAGGTGCACACCTGACTGCAAGATTGGGGCCTCAAGTTAATAGAGCAATATGCTGTAATTTATTGTTGGTGCTAGTAGCACCTACAATAAGCAACTACTACAAAAGCATTTTCATCCATAACCTCATGTCTTCACAAACTGAAGTATTCACCTTTGGGGCTGAACATTTTCTTTTGAAGTAGGCTTCTGGTTTCAAGTAATTTTGCTTTGTTTAATTTTCAACAAAATCCCTTCAGATGTTTTTGAGTTATGGGACAGTTAAAAAAAAAAAAACAAGAACACTTTTTCCACTGTATGTCAAAGGCAACAGGGGCAAGTTCTGGCCCTAGTTACTCCAGTGTAAGTCCTGCAGTGCTTCCAGCCTCACAGCATGCTGCACAATTTGTGTTACGGACCGTGGGATACCCTCCAGCTCCCAGAAGAATTGTGGGAGCAAGAGCCAATTGCTTCACTGACTTCAGATTTACATCAATTTAAGTGAGGGCAGAATCTGGCACTATTACTTTAAATTTGTACCAAAAGCTTCTAATAGAATAATTAATTTTCCCTAAACACTTGTAGTTATGTTGACTGACTAGTGAAGCTGTCACGAGGCTACTTGTTACCCTGCTTTGCAATGGCCCTCTGATATATAAGAGCAGCACTAAGTTTGAAGAGCTTCATTCCATTATATCTGAACAAAGTGCAATGCTATTCTAGAAGCTGCCAGTGTAGTTTGAGTGGCAACTTGTGATGTGGGCAAGGCCGTATGGGTCTTAGTTCAATAGGGCTTTGCTTTCTGAGATGCAGAGGTGGAGCTGCAAAGAGTTATTCCGCTTACAGTACATGCTTTAATAAAGCCACCTGAAAGTTAGTTTCATTATCAAACATTGGCATAAGATCCAAGGGCCCGATTCTCTCCTTTTTCAAGGTAAGTGCAGGTGTAAATTCAAGTTAATTACACCAAAATTATCAGTGACCTGTGCAAAAGACAGGCTACAGGATATGTTCCTGCCATGCTCCACATACCCACTAGCAGCTCCCTCACCCAACACTACACAAGCTGACCAGCTAAAATTAAAAGGAGTACTTGTGGCACCTTAGAGACTAACCAATTTATTTGAGCATGAGCTTTCGTGAGCTACAGCTCACTTCATCAGATGCATACCGTGGAAACTGCAGAAGACATTATATACACACAGAGACCATGAAACAATACCTCCTCCCACCCCACTGTCCTGCTGGTAATAGCTTATCTAAAGTGATCATCAAGTTGGGCCATTTCCAGCACTAATCCAGGTTTTCTCACCCTCTGCCCCCCCACACACAAACTCACTCTCCTGCTGGTAATAGCCCATCCAAAGTGACCACTCTCTTCACAATGACAGGTTTCAGAGTAACAGCCGTGTTAGTCTGTATTCGCAAAAAGAAAAGGAGTACTTGTGGCACCTTAGAGACTAACCAATTTATTTGAGCATGAGCTTTCGTGAGCTACAGCTCACTTCATCAGATGCATACCGTGGAAACTGCAGCAGACTTTATATATACACAGAGAATATGAAACAATACCTCCTCCCACCCCACTGTCCTGCTGGTAATAGCTTATCTAAAGTGATCATCAGGTGGGCCATTTCCAGCACAAATCCAGGTTTTCTCACCCTCCACCCCCCCACACAAATTCACTCTCCTGCTGGTGCTAGCCCATCCAAAGTGACAACTCTTTACATAATCAAGTCGGGCTATTTCCTGCATAAATCCAGGTTTTCTCACATCCCCCCCACCCCCATACACACACAAACTCACTCTCCTGCTGGTAATAGCTCATCTAAACTGACCACTCTCCAAGTTTAAATCCAAGTTAAACCAGAACATCTGGGGGGGGGGGGGTAGGAAAAAACAAGAGGAAACAGGCTACCTTGCATAATGACTTAGCCACTCCCAGTCTCTATTTAAGCCTAAATTAATAGTATCCAATTTGCAAATGAATTCCAATTCAGCAGTTTCTCGCTGGAGTCTGGATTTGAAGTTTTTTTGTTTTAAGATAGCGACCTTCATGTCTGTGATTGCGTGACCAGAGAGATTGAAGTGTTCTCCGATTGGTTTATGAATGTTATAATTCTTGACATCTGATTTGTGTCCATTTATTCTTTTACGTAGAGACTGTCCAGTTTGACCAATGTACATGGCAGAGGGGCATTGCTGGCACATGATGGCATATATCACATTGGTGGATGTGCAGGTGAACGAGCCTCTGATAGTGTGGCTGATGTTATTAGGCCCTGTGATGGTGTCCCCTGAATAGATATGTGGGCACAATTGGCAACGGGCTTTGTTGCAAGGATAAGTTCCTGGGTTAGTGGTTCTGTTGTGTGGTATGTGGTTGTTGGTGAGTATTTGCTTCAGGTTGCGGGGCTGTCTGTAGGCAAGGACTGGCCTGTCTCCCAAGACTTGTGAGAGTGTTGGGTCATCCTTTAGGATAGGTTGTAGATCCTTAATAATGCATTGGAGGTGTTTTAGTTGGGGGCTGAAGGTGACGGCTAGTGGCGTTCTGTTATTTTCTTTGTTAGGCCTGTCCTGTAGTAGGTAACTTCTGGGAACTCTTCTCGCTCTATCAATCTGTTTCTTTACTTCTGCAGGTGGGTATTGTAGTTGTAAGAAAGCTTGACAGAGATCTTGTAGGTGTTTGTCTCTGTCTGAGGGGTTGGAGCAAATGCAGTTGTATCGCAGAGCTTGGCTGTAGACGATGGATCGTGTGGTGTGGTCAGGGTGAAAGCTGGAGGCATGCAGGTAGGAATAGCGGTCAGTAGGTTTCCGGTATAGGGTGGTGTTTATGTGGCCATTGTTTATTAGCACTGTAGTGTCCAGGAAGTGGATCTCTTGTGTGGACTGGACCAGGCTGAGGTTGGTGGTGAGATGGAAATTGTTGAAATCATGGTGGAATTCCTCAAGGGCTTCTTTTCCATGGGTCCAGATGATGAAGATGTCATCAATATAGCGCAAGTAGAGTAGGGGCTTTAGGGGACGAGAGCTGAGGAAGCGTTGTTCTAAATCAGCCATAAAAATGTCATAAAAAAGGGTCCTTACCCATAACTATTTCACATTTGGGGACAATGTATACCTTCAGATCAGCAGCACTGCTATGGGTACCCGCATGGCCCCACAGTATGCCAACATTTTTATGGCTGATTTAGAACAACTCTTGAGCTCTTGCTCAAATAAATTGGTTAGTCTCTAAGGTGCCACAAGTCCTCCTTTTCTTTTTGCGAATACAGACTAACACGGCTGTTACTCTGAAACCAGCTAAAATTAGTGATCTCATAGAGGAGTCTTGGTGGAACATGTGATGTAAAGGACCATAACTGATAAGAAAAATCACTGCATGAGTTAAAGCTGAATGTTTCAGCCCTAGGACCCGCATTGAGTAGCATGGTGAGGAGCATTAACTCTCTCAATAGTTTCTACACACTAATGGAGATGGAACTTGTGGACAGTCCCAGGGAGGGGGAATAGCATAAGTAAGGTGTCAATGCTAAGGGGAGATGAGAGCCATGTGTCAGGCAGCTGCTGTATGCAGATCTCCTGAAATCCAAAGGGTTACCTTGTGGATCCTCAAGCAGACCATATTACCTGCCAGTCCTGTACCACCACTTTACACACTTTTGCCTATCTCCAAAATGAATGAATGGGGTGAATTTATCTGCAGGCAAAAGCCAGGTATATTTTCAACCAAGTCCTTCTCTACCATGTTTACTTATGAATAAGTGAGGATGTAACTCTTTTTCATGAAAAATGGGATCAAAGAAAAAAAACTACATTAAATAAATACAAAATAGGAGATAAAGACTAAAACCTCATGTATGCTTAAAAATTAGATCAACCTAGCTTTGTTGCTCAGGGCTGTGAAAAATTTCATGCCCAAAGCACTGTAGTTAGGATAAGCTAATTCTCAGTGTAGTCACAGCTGCATCAATGGAAGAATTCTTCTCTTGACCTAACTACAGTCTCTCAGAGAGATGTATTAACTTGAACAGAAAACCCCCTTGCATTGCTGAGTCTACACTATCGCATTGTAGTAGCATAGGTGCAATGCAGATGTGCCCTAAGAATTAAACAACCATTAAGAACTGACCACATGGAAGATGTTATAGAAAATTACAACTAAAATTAGTCAAATGGCCTTCACCCATGAGAATCAATTGCAATTTTCCCATTAATTTAATTGGAGCAGGATCAGCTCCTCATTATATTAAAGAAAAAAATAGTGAAAGCATTTTGAGATTACATACATACATCAACTACTTATCAAATATTAACAGAATGTTTAACAAATTTTAACATCTTCAAAAAAAGTTATGCAAGTATGTTTTCCCCCTCCTATTATTATTTATTATTATAATTCATCCAGCATCTATAACCAATTCTGTAAATTTGTTAGCTGAATAACCTATGCAATCACTGTTGTGACATTTGTGAATGTGATAATGGAACATGTTTAAAGTTATTCACCCAGCTGTTCTAATGAATACAATGGTGCTATTTATACATTCCAGTAGAAAAAGATTGTAATGCTTACAGATGATAGGAGTTGTGAATTTACATGGGGAAAAATGAATATAAAGGCGAAAGATGATTGCATGCAAACCTTTAATTCCTCCTGAATTTTTTCCTCCATCAGTTTGGCTTTTCGATCTTCTGTTTCTATTTTCCATTTTTCTGCCACTGTTTTGGCTTTCTCCTTAGCCATAGCATCCCGGAATTTCTTTGTAATTTCAGCCTCTTTTTGCTTCCTTCAGAAAAGAATTTGAAAAAAAACAAAACAAAGTTAGAGACTGCTCTTTAGGAAGCGAGAAGAAACGATTATTGAGTAAACAAGCCTAGATTCTTATTACTATCAGTGATACTAACTGGTTCATGTAAGAGTCTAGGAAAATATACATGGAAAAAAGAATTTAAAATGTATTTAACAAGTGAAGTACAATAAGCCTAATTCCAAGCACACACCCAGGGGACAGACATTTTCAGTCTTGGAAAGTGACTAAAAATAGCACCTTCTAAAAATCAAAAATTTGTTCATTGGATGTCTTTGGTTCAGACCATAGCTATTTCCTTTTCTAATGAAAACCAGATATTTCTTGACAGCAATGCAAAGCCAAAGCAGCAATGGGACAGTGATCTGAAATCCATTCTGCCTCACACATCAACAAAGCTATCTGCTAAATTCCAGGGGCAAAATCTTTATTACTGGTGACAATGTAAAAGGCCAAGCACAGATTGATGTCTGAATCCCAAGTGAAATATACAGCATCCACATTCAGAAGCAGCATATTTTGACTTTAACTAAGAATATCTAATAAAAAGAATAAATATGAAATGACACCACATTGTCCAATCCCTGTTCAGAGCATTACCACAGAGCGTGATCTACCTGGGGCCTCATCTCTCAATGCCATTGGGCATCAACACACCCTCTGACCAATTCCAAAGCTGTCATAGGCTCCATTAGAAATACAGTTAATGACACTTTCCTGAGTCAATTATACTAACATGCAAATAAGCCACTCAGCAATAGGCTTTATGTGCCAAACTTCAGTCAGAAATTTTTATCCCTGACTACAGCAGCTATTTCTGATTTATCATCCAAAAGCAGATTGCAAACTAAAAAACAACCTAACTGAGCAGGTAAATAGTTTAGATCACGATCAGACCCAGCCTAATCTCAATATCACTCCTACTGGTTTGAAAGGGGCATTTTTCACTAAAGAATTCTAAATAAATTTTAAAATATGGATTTTTTTATTCCAGTTTTTCCAATAGTTGTGTCAGTGTGTGAAATGGGCCATCAATTCAGAGTCATAAAACCTCACCATAGTTCTTCTGCTTCCTTCTGTGCTTGCTGCCTGGCTCGTTCTGCTATTAGTTCCTCAGAAATCTGTTCATATGGCTTGTCACCTGGGGAGTCTCCCATAATCCAGACCCAGATCTCACCATCACTCCCATGAAGCCACTGCACATGTTTGTCATTACCTGTAACAGCCACCAAAACAAACATGGAAAGCACTTATTAAGCAACTTGCTCGGGTTCAGAAACAAATATAGGTGAAACTGTGCTAGAAAGTTAAATCCAAAAAGTAAAGGAGAGCTAAAAGGTAGGACTGAGCCCTCATACTTTGCATGCTCTACTTAGACTAAGTATTATGCGGCAGGGATAGCATTTTGTACAATGCTCAGTTTGTGCCTCTAGATGCTAATGTAATAGAAATAATCACAAAAATCACTGTGAGATTTGTTGTAGCATGTTGCAGAGCATGATGGCGGCTTTCCTGACAGAACTGCGATGATAAATAGCAGTGGGCTGCGCGCATTATACCTGGCTTTCAACAGTGCTATCAATCTCATACATCTGTGAGAGCAAATAAAAGGTACAACAATATTTTTAATGGGGTTAAACAGGCATCATCCTGATTAGTATCCTAGCACCTAATTAGCATGGTAGCTGGGAGAAGTCAAATCTCACTGCTGTTCTGAGACTCCTGCTGCTTGTTTGTGAATTTAGCAGGTTCAGAGCACAAAATAGACCCCTTTGGAGTGTGCATACTCTTTTTGTGTTACTTTAGGTTTCCTTCGTCTCTGGCCTATTGATATATTTCTCATAGGCACAACTTTTCCCCATTAATACACAGCCATATAATCAAAATCTTCATCTCTAGAGGATGTCTTCAGAAATTGCTCTCTTTTTTCAAAGCTGTAGGTCTCTTCGAGCCCCACAGGCACCACATATTAAACTCACTCAAACAGATCAGTATAATTTATCAGTTGGTGCAGCACTAATAATGATACACACATCCATCTATCAGGCTGAAAGACTATAGCATAATCTACCAATTTGACAATTTTATACATCAGCAATAGTTGGACAGCCCCTTCACAGCATGTCCCATTTTAAGCCAATTCAGCTTGAACACCATATGCCTTTAGTTTATTTTTTTCTTTAGAACAAGCAAAACAGCTTTTTCACTTCTAGAGGTAAAATTTAGACTGTAGGCAGAAATGCCTCCCCTGCAAATCTGCCCCCAAACCAACATCAGTAATACTCCTCATAAAGCTGGAGATGGGTTTCGATGTGCAATCTGATCAGAAAGCTTTGTAGTTTCTCACAGAGCAGCATCCAAAAAGACAATGTGATGAGTGGGCAGCAAAAGAAATAAGTAACTCAGAAAGTCTGACACTGTGAAGATGGAATTCTTGCCTCAAAGTATTTGCAGCCTGTAAGTCAAGTTAAGAGAAGGCTCTAGTCGTTTAGACCCCAAAATAAGATCAATTCTAAGACCAATAGAGGAAAGCTCAGCCAATGGTGAGGCACTGACTTAGGACTGGGTTCAATTTTTTGTTCTACGACAGCCTCTCCTGTGTGACCCTGGCCAAGTCACTTTAACCCCTATTTAACAGATGGGGAACAGAGTCAGAGATTAAGTTCTTTCTAACTTCACAACACTCTTGTGAGGTAAACTACATTAGAGACAGTGAGGAGGTGCTCAGATACTACAGAGGAGCCATGTAACTACTTAAGAGCTGAACAGGGATTCTAGAAGTGAAATTTCCTTCACTATTTTACCTGCACAGGCTGAGTTTGCCTGCTTTGGCAATCAAGAAACAGTTGCCTGTAAGGTATGGTTATAGTTCAAAAAATTAAATTATATTTTTTTAATTTTGTTTTGAGATTTCCCATCAATTAGGACACTTTTCCTGGGGGGGGGACTGTTTTCAACAAAACCCCGTTTTGTCAAATGCGAATTTTTCAGTTGAAATTTTTCAACCAGAAAAAGGGAGTCCCTAACTAAAAGAGCTTAAAATCTAAATTGACACAATAGAGAATTATTGAAATGGGGAGTACAGTTGTGGATCTAAGGCACAGAGAGATTGAATGACTGTTCATATAGGAATTCTGGGGCAGAATCAGGAATTCAACTCAAAGTCTGAGTCCCAGTCTAGTACCTTAACCACAAAGTAAACCCACCCTTCATCTGCCACAAGAGGAGGTGAAGGAACTCTATCGCTTAATGCATATAAATTAGACTTGACAGCACACTTGAAACAAATGTACTATTAGAAACAAACCTACATGAGAAGGGAAGAGGACTGGATAACTTATTGGTCTATATTCCATCTCTGGTATTTAAACTCTATGATTTAAACAAAGTTAGTCCTCTATCAGGCAACCGTGCTTATCATAGCACCCCAAAAAAAAGCTGTAAAGCAAAATTATGTCTACTGATATACAGTTCTCTACTTGCAGCAGATCTGTGAAGGAGTATCATTCATGGAGTTTAGCCCTCCCTCTACTGCAAGATCTAAACTGCTTAGAGGGTGGTGAATTTTTTTCTTAGCAGCTCTTGGCATAGCACACCAGCATCCAAAATTTACAACCCCAAAGGGTAACTTTCCAGGAGATACAAGACTACACATAATATGCATGAAAATATACACACCCACACACACGCTGATCATCACAGACATACAGAATCATGTCATTTTGGATGATAGTATTTGCTTGTGCTTATACAGTAGCTTGTGTGATAGATTAACAGAACTTGTTTCTGGCTTGAGTTCACAGCAAGGAAAACATAAAACAATCTCTAATGACAATGCTGCCAATCTAATAAAATTATTTTTCACACACACACACAGTGAGAGCTAGCAGACAGCCATTGTGTGCTTTTTAGATTACTGTAGGCTGCACTTGGCCTTCAAACTGTTCTTTGGGTATCCCTATGGTAGATGAGGGATAATATTATGGCTGAGTAGTAATAGAAGTTTCCATATTTCCTATCAGCCTCCTTAAAAGAAAATCATAAGCACCATTTGAAAAGGGTTGGGGAGGGGGCAACTTGATTTGCAATGAAAGAGATATCTGGTTTAAATTTTAAGCCAGCTATAATATTCACACAGCAAATAAGATTTAGCATGCACTGAAATACATGAAAAATAATAGTCTTACACTGTCTCTAGTAAGTAGGGCAGGTGGGCAGAAGCATAGTTTTCTTTTTATAGGAGTTCTGGTTTATAATCTGGATTCATTTGCATATGTGCTGCTAATTAAAAGCAGTTTAAAACAGAGTTGATGAAATATTGCTGGAATCAGCTTCCTTTATACAGGCTCATTTATCATTGTTTTAACAATTATGGCATCCCTGACAATTCCCATTTGTTATCTATCTCCAGTTTTTGCGAGGGACCTAAGCCAAAGTCCATTTAGAGCCCGCTTTGGTGTCAAGTCTCCCAGCTATGCTGTTACTCAGGAGCCACAGGCCACATGCTGTGCCTAGCAAAGAAAGCAGGAGTGTGCGGGTAATCCTGCTGCCATTATATTACATGGAGTACAACAGACTAATTCAAATTATAGTTTTAAACTCTTAGCGCACCACTGATTTAGAATCCCAGACACATGAAATGATATTTAAACTCTGCCTAATAACCTTTTAAAACAAAGCCCTCTGTTTCCATTGATAAAGTCTAATTTCTTTGTGGTTTGGCTTCCACCCACCAGTCCTACCCTGGATGGCTGCAGATGTCCCACAACAGCAAAATAACTCGCCCTCTTTTGCCATTGGGAAGCCTTGTGTTCATAAAACCACTCTTTGGCCCTCATCTCTGCATAAAGTATTTGTTTTCTTTTTCCCCCTCTCTCGGCTACAGTTACTGTGAGGAAGCTAAATTCTTCTGAAACCTATTCGGCATTTGAAATGTATCAGCATTCAGCTCTCTGGCATAGGGCTGATCAGCCTGATTTCCCTTTGTAGTTTCAAGACATACTGTAGCTTCTGGGGGATGGTTTTTGTTCCTTCTGAATTTAGATACCTGATATACTTTGAAGCACAATCTGCGTTTTGCATACGATTTAATCACCAGCTTTCACACTCTGTTCAGAACTAATGACTTTTACATCTTCTTCAAAGGTTTCTGCTTGGATTTCAAAAATCTGCAGGGTAAATGCTATTCCATTCTGAGTTTCACTGGTTGCAGTCCTGCCCAGCACACGCATGGAATAGGGTGTTAGGATAGAAATAAAGATGCAGGGAGTGGTGGGTTGGACTCAATCCCTTATATACCCACCCCTCCAAATTCATTACACAAGCTATGAACTGAAGTGTACTTGGGTAGGACAATAAAGATTCTCCAAGGATACCTCTGCAACAAAGCCTGGGGTGTGAAAGACAGTTCCTGTAGATGTACGCACTCTAGCTGCACTGTAGCTTGCTAAAAATGAAAGTGAGGATGTGGCACAGAGACCCATTGGCAAAAGGTTCCCTGTTCTTTGTAAACAGCTCTCACCTCAGATCTGATAAACTCACTACACCAAACCCATATCTTGCAGGGTATTTATCCATAATGGATATCACATGAGGGATCTCCAGAAAGCTCATAACCTGTCAAGACTCAATCATTGCTAGATGTATGTACATGTATTATTTAAGAAATAATATCAAATATATTGAAAGGAAGCCTTATGGACTTGGAGTAGAATTTAATCACCAGGAAGGGGTCTGCCCTTGTTGATGACCCATTCAAGAAAGAGAGCATGATCACTCTTCCTAATCAGACAGTGAGGTAATGCAAGGATCAGTTGACTAGTCCTTGCTCCCTCCCAAAACTATCCATGGAAAACCATCAGATGCTCCATGAAACAATCAATACTTCTTGGATTTGAAAGAAGAACATTACAACAGACAGAGCTTCACTCCGGCCACAGATAGAAACAAAAGGCTGTTTTCAGCATAACACAGAGAAGGGAGAAGCAGTCTGGATCCATTCACTAGTGGAAACCCAGGACACAAATGTTCATGAAAGCCCCTCTGCCCCCAATGGTTCTTGTGAAACCAACCAGCTCTGCAAGAGACTGAACTTTGGGGAGGGAAACCCACTTTATTAGCTAGGGAAGAGAACTATTGGTAAGCGTAGTCCCAAGTTCACATTTATTTTAGTATTATAGCCATTTATTTCTTCCACTTTCATTTCTAGTAAAATTT